ATATTCCCTTTATAGTTTTCTGGGTAGCCTGTGCCCAGAAAACAATGCAAGTTTTATTTTTAACCATCTAATTGTCCTCCACTTTCTTTGGGTGAATGGTGCTAATTTCAAGCGGCGTTGGTTTTGCGACCTCTTTGACCAGTCTTCAGGCTGAGTAGGTTAGAACAGGACTAGGATTCCGCATTCCAGACAGGCGGGAGATGGCAGCTGAGCGTGGACCATGTAAGACTGCCCTCCGAGAAGCGAAAGGACGCCATTACAGTTACGCGGCAATCCTGGCAGGTCGCGTTAGCAACTCGGACACCAGGTACCCATCCAGGGCCGCCTTCAGCATGTGGCAGATACAGAAAGAATTTGTTGAGTGAATGACTAAAAATTATTTTAGTATAAAAATTAGCATAATTCAACAAACAAAATGAGTCAGGGACCACGCCTGAGTCACGGCACCCCCTCTCTCTCCTGCCCTAAGTGTCTCTCTCTCCTGCCCTAAGTGTCATGGACAAATGTCTTCCTAAGGCCACACCTCCCTGCACCAGCAGCAAGATGCCTGTGCCTCCCAGGCCTGCCTCTCAAGGGCATGAAGGTAATGATTCTCCAGAAGGTTATGACCTTTAGAGTACTCGTGACCTTCAGTGGCATGCATCAGACGTGGGGGTGAAATCAAGACAACCAGTGGATATTTGCCTCCTTAAAATTATTCCAGAAGACACAGTGCTGTGGATCCTCCTTGAAATCCTCCCCCTCGCTTCAAACCCACGCATCCCAGGTTCTTGCCGCTTTCTGCAGCAGCTCTGGGGTCCTTTTTCCTTGCGGGTCTTCATGAGGTACGATCAAAAATATGATGAATGGCGCTGCTGCCGCGCGCCATCCAGCAGAAAGGCCCTGTGTGCCCAGCCACCTCACTGGCCGGAGCTAACAATCACTTCCGGCTCTTCCCCAAGGTCAGAATGACCTGGGTGGACAGTGTGAATGCGCGCAGGACCTGGAGGCAGCCAGGACAGCGCAGCTAAAGACACAAAGGAGAACTTGCAGAACTGCCTCAGAAAGTGGCGAGAGCGACGGGATGAGTGTGTTCCAGGGCGGGGGAGGACTCTGAGGGGACTCGTGATGATGTGTATTTCACTATTGTACATGTTTGCAAATTTCAACATTCACCATATCTCAGATCAGCCCTTGCTTGATTATTTATGCTTCTTTTTCAGACAGTTGTTAGTAGCAAGGTTGTGAGACCCCAGCCTCCCCACATACAGAAATCAGGTGGTTTCTTTCTTTTAGAGAGCACAGTTTTCCTACAACCAGGGACAGCCCTCAGCTCACAGGTGCCTGAGAAGAAAGCAGAGGGACCTGGCCAGCTCCCCCACACTCCACTCCGTTCCTGGCACCCCTTCAACCTTGTCCCCCCGACCCATGGCTGGGACTCACGGCAATGGCCTGGAGACAGTCACGGTAGGAGCCTCTCTTGATGCAGGACACAGGAGGGCCTCCTGCCTTCTTCATATTCCTCTGCAACCTGAAGCATTTCGTTGCCTCGTCTGAGGATATGGAGCACCACCGCACGTTCCCCTTAGGGGCGGCCAGGCACAGTCCTGGGAGGAGGAGGCAGGGTCAAAGCTCCGCTACTGTCTGGGAGGGACCACCTTGTCCCTGTGGAGCCTCCCAGGCCCGTGGACCCAGCTTCCCTCCAACCTCCACCCGCCATGGCTGGTCTGGCCCTGGCCAGCATGGGCTCTGCTCTAGCTGGTAGTTTGCAGGCTTAGCAAACTAAGGGTGAGAAAGCCTCTAGATTCTTTTCCTTCCTGCGACTTGGCCACTGTTCCTGTCCCTAGAAAGGGATGCTGATCAGGTCCTCAACACCCTTTAGGAAGGTCTGACACCTGCTTTGTCCCATTTAATCCTGGGAAGTGGGCAGGGGTGGGACCACTGCTTGGCCCTTGGGAGGCTGAGCTGGGCAAGGCAGCTGACAGTCTCTCCATTGTAGATCTCTGAGTGCCTCCCAAGGGTGCTGGGGAGCAGGAAAACACACAGGACTGTGGGTGCTGTAGGAATGGAGGGTCGGGAGCACAGCAGGCGCAGATAGATGGGCCCTCTCGGTCAGCACTTTGGTGCAAGAATCTGCAACAGGGAGGAGGCTGGGTCAGGTTTGCTCACCTGATTGCCTGGCAGATGGTATCTATGAAAAACCTACAGTGACCGCCACATCAAAATGGCGAAAGATGAAAAACTTTCTGCCTAAGCTCGGGAACAGTGTGGCGGTGCCCAGCCTCACTGTTCTGCCAGCACAGTGCTAGAGCAGGGGACCCAGCAATAGGCGCAAAAAAGAAATCGACCCCACCCTGAGGCAGAAGTGGGGGTGAAAGTGTTTCTCTGCAGCTGACATGAACCTGGGTGTAGAAAACCCTACGGCCTCTGCCAAGTGCTGTCAGAGAAGGGAAGCTGACACAGTAGGCACTGGATGCTGGATTGGGGGACAAAAAGCCGTCACATCCTTGCAGATGGGCACTGAAAAGCCTCAGGCCTAAATGAAGACTGTCAAAAAGGAATTAAATACATGACGAGTAAAAGATCGCAGTTTCACCCAAGAAGACGGGCGGCTGCTAAGCACGCGCAGAGCCGGGCCCCACCTCGAGCCAGTGAGAAAACGCAAATGGTAAAATGTAGTCAAGTCTGTCACACAGCTGATCGTGGCTGACACAGGACAACGCGTGTTGGTGACGGTGTGGGAAAATGGAAACCTTCCAGCTCTGCTCAGAATGTGAACTGCGAGGTTGGAAAACAGGCCGGCAGCTTCTCCAATTGTTCTAGAAATAAAACTGTGTGTTCACGTAGACTCCTGCAGCATTATCCAAAGTAGCAAAAAAGTGGAAATAACTTGAATGTCCAACAACTGGACAAAGAAGGCGTGAGGGAATGGGCGGCCTCCGTGGGGGCATCCCAGGGCATGGAGAGGGGCAGGGATGGGGGCTGGTGTCGGCAGCCAGCCAGAGAACAGATAGGCCTGGGAGCGGCACAGAGGCCGGGGTGAGACCAGCCACGCCACAAGCCAAGGATGGATCTCCTTTCCTCTCCTCAGTTCTTCTCTGGGCAGACAGGCAAGGCCCAGGGAGGACTCAGCCTAGTGAGGACCCATGGGCACCTCCCACACTGCTGGAGCAGGCTGATCCGATCCCATCCAGCCTGAGTACACCCACCCTCGGGACCAGAACAGGAATTCCAGGACAAGACGGGGCTTGACAGGGGTACAGGTCCCCTCTCTGTAGAGACCAAGGCAACCAAAGATCTCTGGCCTGTGACCTCCCAGCGGGAAAGCAAAGCTTCCTTCCTGCCCTGTCCAGGTGGCCCTGGCCTGTGCCACATGTCCTGTGGCAAGAAGCAAGAGGGAGGAGAGAATGTGGAAGAAGAGGGGTCCGATGCCTGATGTCAGGTTAGGAGAGTGGGGCCAGAGATGAGCTCATGCCCCAGGTTTGGGGGTGAGGATGCCACTGCTCTCTAACCACCCTCTAACCCCTTCTCCCTCCAGGATGTTCTTGCCCCAAGTGGATTCCCTAAAACGGGAGGGAGGGCCAGCACTGGCAAGGGAGGGACATGTGCACTGTCACAGGCCTCGCCCACAGCCTAGTGTCCTCCTCTCTGGCCCTGCAGGAAGCCCCCACTCTCAGCTTCCACCGCTGAAGCATCCCCCCGAGGAGCACCCTGAGCCCAGAGGTCCCCCCAGACCTGGTACAGGGCAGTAGCTCAGACTTGCTGTCTGGTCCTTTGGGCTTTGTCTCTTCTATCCCGGACATGTCTCAAGGAGAAGATCCGTCACTTCCCTCTCACTTCCAGGCACACAGGTGAGACCCCAGCCTTCCCCTCTGCCATGGGAGGTGTTGCTCACCTGTGCCTGACCCCAGGCAGGGGACAGCCCACCTCCTCCACCTGACCCAGGGCTTCTAAGTGAGGAAACCAAGACCCAGAGATGCCACATGGTCCATGTAGCAGCTAAAATCAAAGCTCAGTTTCCCCGTGCGTCTTCTGTAGTTGTCACTCTAGGAATCTGGGTAACTAGGATGGGTGCTGAGGGTCTCGGGGGATACCATGGCAACAGAAGAGGTCCTTAGGAAAGCACTGGCAGACGCAGATGTGGCCCTGGCCCTCCCCCAGCCCCTGCACCTGTCCCTGCCTGGCGGGGTGCAGGACCTGAGGCACTGGCCAGGGGCCCAGGGCTGCAGATTACTCACCAACATCCCCTAGGCAGAGGGACAGCAGGGCGGCCAGCAGGAACCTCATGTTCCTCCCCACAGGGGTGACCCAGTCTGCCCGGGCTTGGCTCCTACACCTCTCTGCAACCCTTTATCTGTGGTAGCCTCCCAGGCTGGCCCCGCCCTGTTGCCTCATCAGTCCCTGTCACCTCCCTCCCCCCACCCAGCTCCCAACATCCCTGCAAGTCCAGTTCCTGCTGGGATCAGTGCCTGGAGGTGGGGCACTAAGCAGGAGTCTGGGAACAGTGAGGTGGATGCACAGCAGGCAGGGTGTACATGGCTGATCTCCTGCAGGGGACAGGGATAACTGGTAGGGACAGAATGGCCAGCTTGTAGGAACATGGAATTCCAAGGAAAGGGACCCCTTCAGCCCTGCTGAGATCACAATTGGGTGCCTGGAACAGGAGCCAGGGCCAGAGCAGGGACTGTCCCCTCACTGGCCAAAGAAGAGATGCTCTGCCTCTCTCTCTGTCTCTCTGTCTCTCTGTCTCTGTCTCTCTCTCTCTCTCTCTCTCTCTCTCTCTCTCTCTCTCTCCTTTCTCTCCTTTCTTCTTCCTTCCTTAACTCATATCCTTTTGGGGAAGCCATTTTTACTTGCATGCTGGTTTCAGCTTCAAAGGATAGGTCTATAAGCATCAGGAACTCCGGAACAAAGACCTTCTGCACAGCTCACTGCATGTGCCGGGAACTGATTGGCAGCCGGCCACCTGTGGCCCTCCATGTGTGTCCAGGGCACTGCAGGGCCCCATGCCTGCAGGTAGGCGCTTGGCCCAGAGTCAATAAGTGAGGCGAGAAGGCTCTCGCCCTCAAGGAAGCCGCAGGCATCTGAGAGTTCTGCCTGTCCTGAAAGACTGGTATTGACTATTTGCTTAGGCCACCGGGTGGTCAAGCATTTCCTGGAGCAGCAGGTGGGTAAAACCCCAGGGAGCTGGTGCTGGCTCAGGTAGGCACCAGTGGGCACCATGCCCTGGAGAAATGCCCAGCCCTGGGAGGCACTGGAAGAGGTGTGGGACTTCTCTATCCCTGGGTGTGGCCCTGCTAGGGCACAAGGGACCACTCCGGGGTCCTGCTTGCCTGGCATGACTGGGGTCTGGGGCTTAGTGCTAAAATCCCCAACCATGGTGTGGTGACAGGTCAGGGTCCCTAGTTGTTTGGAAACAAGAAATGTCAACACTAAAAGTTGCTCCCATCAATAATTGCAACGAGCCATTTCAGAAATGGTGAAGAAATGCACAATTGGCAAATTCTCAAGCATGCTAAGGCATCCAGGCATAGAACCTGAGTTAACAGCCAAGCTCTGCCTTTAGTGATTAGAAAATGGTGAAGAAAAAAAAAAGAAAAAAGAAAAGAAAAAGAAAACGGTGAAGAAGCATCCCAGCCTACATCTCTATGCGAGGCCAGATCGCAGACGGGATGCCCGGGGCAGCTAGGACCGTGCCCCTCATCTGTGTCAGCATCAGCAGGGACACAGAACCTGGACCACAAGCAGGGGTACCTGAAGGGAGGGCAGGATCCTGAGGGGAGCCTTTCCAGAGAAAGGCGGAGCCCAGCAAAGGGCTGCGGCATGAGCCCAGTGACCAATACCCAGGCTCCAGGGACAACAAAAGGTCACTGTGCTCTGCTGGAAGGTCCTGCCGCACCCTGGGCTGCACAGCAGGTGTCTGTCTTCCTCAGACAGCTCCTCTCACAGGTCCTCTCGGCACCTAGATTTCTGCCCCTGAAATGCATCACCAGCCCCCTCAGCCTGGGGCTCCCCTCTCTTCCTTCTACACTCCATCGGTCCCCAAAACACAGCCAGAGGCACCCTCAGCTCACCGGTCAGCCCCGGTCAGACACAGTAGGCAAAGCTCACTGCCAGTTGAAGGGACAGATGAGTGAAGACAGGCTGTGTGCAAGCCTCAGAGTCTGAAGGATGTCAAGGGCAGGGCTGGCCATGCCGGGCCTCCCCAGGGCCTGTGCATGGGGCACCTCCCATGTGGCAGCAGCTGAGCCCACTGGGACCGCTCACAGGGACATGAAACACAGGTTTCCAAGAGGAAGAAGCAGCAGGATTCTAAGGAGCAGAGAGAAGGGTCTGCAGTGCAGACGACCACTGAATGGCAAGTGCTGGTGTGCAGCAGGCAGGCTGGAGCGATGGCACCCTCATACCTTGCACCCTGGACCTTTGCAGAATAGCAAGACCCAGACCCCCTCAGCAGGCTGATAGCTGCCCACCCAGCTAGGCTCCCCCAGAATGCAAGCCCTGTTCCTGTCTCTAGGAGTCCTCTAGCTTTCAACCCAAGGGGAGAGCTAGGTCAGGCCTACGTAGAAGCAGCTCCAGATGGGACATATGAAGAGGTCCAGAGGTCCCCACCCAGCCTGGCCAGCAGGATCTCCAGTCCTTCCCTGTTCCTGCTACTGGAAGGAGGTTGTTGGGTAGGAAGAGAGCCACGTTTTAAACTTTAGGGATTTTGTGGTACATTAACCACTGGCGGAGCCTGAGATGAGTGGGGTGGCACTAGGCACACTGTAGAAGTCAGCCATGCCACCATGCAGCATTGTCCCTAAAGAGCCATTGTACCTCACAGCTCGGCCTATGCTGTCATAGCGGGGTGGCACATCGTGCCCCGTGGGCCAGTGCGTGCTTGTGCGGCTCGGCCATCCCTTGCACGAAGCCAAGACGTTCTTGGCCTAGAGATGGTGCGGCTAACTCCAAACGGAGCTGTCTGTGACCACCACACGAGACTCTAGTAGCCCTGTAATGACATCGCCATCCCCGCTCTAACAGGTGAACAAGTACCCTTTGGTCACCATGCACCCCACATCTCCCAGGGTCCACTCCCCCAAGGATCTTCTCTCCCACAGCAGCTGAATGCAGACTCTGCCCTCATGCCTCGCAGCAGGTGGGGCCCAGCAAAGATGGATGGACCCTCTGTGAGCCGGACACGGCCCAGTGCCGTCCACACCCCAGCTTCCACCCTTGATCCTGGGGCACTTGACTTAGGTTTCCAGAGGAGAGGACTCAGGGGAAGCAACACATCCCCGGGCACTCAGCTGACAAGTGGCAGCCCTTGGAAGCCATCCTGTGACCCCTTGGGGCACTTGTTCCCTTGGTATGGATCATTCTTTTGCTGACAATTAGAAGAGAAAGGCCAAGAACACCCAAGGAGGAAGAGATATATGGAGAGCTTCCTGCTTCCCTACTGCCCCCAGTCCGCAGAGACCCTGCCACAGAGACACTGATTTCCAGAGACTGCCCATGACTTGCGTTGGCCCCGAGGGGAGCTGAAGGCCCTGGGCTGTTGGGGCACTTCCTGTGGGTTCAGGGGTGGGAACGCCACCAGGAGGAAGTGCAGCTAAGGGCAACAGGCAGAAAGCAGCGGCATATGAACCAACGTGTCAGCTTGCCAAATGTTGCTCAATTCACAAAGGACCACAGAGACAAAGAGTGCCTGTCCGCCTGGCACAGCCCTCTTCTTCTACTTCCTGTCTGGCCCATCCCTCCTCCTAAGCAGGTCCCTCTCCTGGCAGGGACAGACCCTCCTGGGGCTGCTTATTCCCGAGATCCCCTGGGCATCTGTCAGGTCTCCCACTGAAGTGGCCACTTCTCTGGTTTCCTGCTCCTCCCCTGGGGCTGAGATGTCGATTCTCCTGGCCAGGGTGGCACTCCATGCCCTTGGCAGAAATCTGAGCCCTGTGGCTACACAGTTATCTCACCTATTGAGACAAGAATCAGAGGCAGACCAGGCCCAGGAGAAAGCATTCTGGGAAGGAAAGTGCAGCCAGGGCAGCCTGGAGGGTGTTGCCCAGCACCAGCCAACATCTTCCCAGAAAGAATGGAGGCTCCGGGAAAGCCCCAGACCGAAAGCGGCCGAGCCCAGGCCCACACTGCCCCTCCACTGGGGCTGCGTTCTGGCCTGAGAGGGAGCTGCCTGCGGTGTCTGCTTCTGCATTCTACAAGGTCAGGCCAAGGTCAGGTGGGTGCTTCACTGAGCATCAAGACAAGGAACCCACTTCCCTGGCCTCTCTGCCTGTCCTCCAGCTCTCAGCCATCTCCACTGACTTGCTGTTCCTTAACCCATCAGTGTGCAGGACAGCCTGCAGAGGGGACGGTCAGCACACCTGGCTGAAAGTAGAGACAGGGTTAGACTCCTGGGTCTGGGCCAGCTCCACCCTAAGCAGCTGAGACCTGAGCAGTCTCGCCACGTATCCAACCCTCAGTTTCTCTGTGCTTGCAAATGACACCCAGGCCTGGGGCTAGTGGAGCTGGGGTGCCCCTACTGCCTATGTGCGTGAGACCCATCATTGGCCAGCACGAGGCACCCACTCTTTCTCAAGGCTGCAGAGTCTTATGTGCTCCTGGGCCTCACCTCCTCCTCCCTCTCCTCCTCCCCCTCCTCCTCCTCCTCCTCCTCCTCTGTCTCCGTCTCTAACCTCACCACCTCCATCCCTCTCTTTGGTTTCCTTCTCCCTGTCTAGCTCCCTGCCTCGCCCCATTTTTTGCAAGGATTGAACCCAGCGCTTTCCCACTGAGCTACATCCTGAACCCATTTATTTTGAGACAGGGTCTCACCTTAGTGAGGTGCTAAGTTGCCCAGGTGGGGTTCAAGTTTGCAGTCCTCTTGCCTGTCTCCCAGAGTGCTGGTATTATGGATGCGCCCCCACACATACCCGGCTCCCCCTCCGTCTTAACACACCTGTCCGTATATGCTTTCCATGGAGAGTTGAGCTTCCTCGGCCACAGTACTTGTACCTGCTGACCCTGTCCCCACCCCCACCAAATTCTGAGTGCCAGGAGGAAGGGCTATGACCCATCCCTGCACCCTAGGGACCACATCAAAGGTCTCACCAAGGGCTGGCTGACCAGCTAAAGGGAAGACAAACAATGAGAAGCTGAGAGCCCCCAGAATCCTTCAGCAACTGTGACTGACAGCACCTTTCTCCTACCAGAAGTAGAGAGAAACCAGCTCACAGGAGTAGCAGAAGGCCCAGCCAAGTCGGGTGGGCAAGCTGGACCTGCCTCCCTTTCCCTTCCGGGCCTGGCAGAGACTTCCCAGCCAGTAGGGCCTTCTGGTCTTGTCTCCGACCTTGGGGATAAATGGGAATGGGAGAAGCA